TTACTGCTACTTTCTCCAGTTTTGCAATTTTCGAAAATTCAGAGTGTTCAATGACAATGAGACCTGCGTAATTCTTTTAAGCGTTCCGTGGAAAAAAAATTGAAATGGCCTTTGGAAAAATGTTTTTTATACTAATTGCATTATTTTCATGCACAAATTATGCGAAAACGACTCTTGTTTCAAAACATTGTATGTGATCTTTTTTAAAAAACAGAGTTTTTAGAACAAATTTTGTTTTAGACCATAATCCCATTCTGGAATTTCTAGTTTTGAAATGTTAACTTTTCGCAATTTTCAAAAGCTTCCTTCGTCAGAAATGAAATACAACGAATATTTTATCATCTTTAAGTCTATAAGAGAAGAAAATTTTAAAAAATTGAGCCGGTTTTGAGAAGACAATTGTTAAAAAAATTTAAAATTGCCTATATTTCTCGCAAACTTATTCGAAAACTACTTATATTTTTGAAAAAAAATTACATGACCATTGTTGTACATGCCAATTCTTCAAGATCCCTCTTGTACAACACATTTCATTACAGAGAAAATCTCTTTTCAGTATGGTAGGTATAATAAATGGGGAAATATGTTAACTTTTGTGATTTTTGAAAAATTAGGGACAAAAGTTACTGCAAATTTTGATAAAATTTTGAAAATGTATATGAAGATTCATGTAAAGTACACAAAAAATCAAATATTTCAAAGTCCAAAGAACTCGAGTTCGTACAATGTGATCGAGGGATATCAATTTTTGGGAAAATCAACTAATCGGATTTGGGGCTAACGGACACGGTCTGGCAGACACGTTTCGCCGTCAATATATTTTTTGGCATCAAAGACCCTGACATGGATTCGGACTACACAGTGTGTGAGAAGAAGTAATTTTCTATACATAGGAACAGGATTTAACGACTTTTTCGTTCTCAGGGCTGGGGAATAAGCGTTCTTCTGTGGAAAATTCCTCGTTTTCTGTCGCACGATTACTACGCTTTCTCTTCTCGCGACGTCTGGGCGAGAAAGTAAAAAGATCGAATGATGTCGACTCGGCATCATGTTCTGAACTTGAGTTTTTCTAAGTGTTCCTTATGAGCAAGATTTCAATCTGGTAGCTGTGCGTGGGTTATGTAGGATGGCCAATTCACAGCAAATATTTACAGAAAACATTTATTTATAGAAAAATGTGAGATATTCATCATCAGTCAATTAAGGTAGTTTTCTGTGCTCTTCTTTTTGTGCTCATCCATCATCTCGTTGTACAGTGAGGGCATGCTTGTTTTAAATATATTTATGCACACAACAAAATTTTGTGTTATTTTAAATCACTTCAGTGCATCACAAACACCCACATTTTTCTTTCATCCGGGTCGTTTAGAAAATCTAACGCGTTAACTTTGCTATCACCGTAATAATTGGTAACTCCCAAGCTTAAGCTTTTCATTGTATCATCAGCGAACGTTTTCTTGAGTCCTCATTTCTGTAGATGCGAGAGAAAAGGGGGCTGTGGTTTTTTTGACGATAGAGCTATTTTATCAAATCTGTACCTCATTTTTTATGCAAAACATACGTAGTATACGTGAGCGTATATTTCTAATAATTAGATTTTTCCAGTAACATTCGTCGTTAATATTTATTAATTCCACCCGTGTTAGCAAAGGGATGAGAGTATATATTCAGGGGCTCAAGAAATCATGCACCTATAATATATAAGGTTCATAAACTCTTTACGGTACTAAGCGTTGATACATTTATCACACAACATATTTAATATGCACATCCAAAGAAATCGAAACCCAAACCATACAACATTAACGTATTTTCGATGAAATGTCAGAAATAGTAGGTTTTGCAATTAGTTTATAATCTTAAGATTTATTGCACGAGTACATGTTTTAAAAACGAACGACGTTTTTGGGCGAATTGAGTAAAGCAACATTACAAAAGAGTTGAAAACGCCATTTTTATAACATTATAAATTTATAACTAAATTAAACTTAATTTTTGCGAAATAACTTTGTCGTGTTTCGCGTATTTGAAATCTGTGCGGGAAAACGGTTGTCGGCTTTTGTATTTACCACTTCCTCCCTACGAGTCTCGTTACGTTACGTTACGATTGGCTGAATGTGTGATGACGCAATCAGTGTCATAAATGTTGATACGTCATCACTTGTGCCGTAAAATGCCCGAATACGAACGATTTATTGCAACAGAAAATATTGTTTATAATGCTGGTATACAAAAAAAGTTAAATGCTGCTTCTGCTCATATTGATGATGTGTGATGGTAGCTGTTAACAAGAAGACCTGAAGGTTGAGGTCACTGGCGCGTCACGCAGTCAGGTGGACTGCCTGTTATTTGAAAATGCTTTGATTTATAACTTGTATTTCGAAACTGATCATTCTTACTGATAGTGGGTCATGGGTTATTAGAACACTTGTTCCGCACCAACTCTTTTTACGGCTCTTGCCTCTGAGTCGTAAAGTTTGATTGACGACATTCGAAGTGGTTGAAATATTTGACACTGACTTTTAATTGTAGCTTATCTTTTACAAAGAATAAAATTAATTGAAGCTTATGTTTTTAGGAAAATAAAATTAAACTAAGAAGCTAATATTCGACATTCTGATCTACATTATATGAGTGAACATAACCGCATGACGAAGATTGAAGCAACATCAATATGAGTTCGTTCATTTCAATATGTGCTTGGGGTTCATCCTCTCGAGAAATGTAACACCGGATTGAAAAATGAGTAGATTTGCGGAACTAGGTTTATTAGTCATATATTGACTCTTACAATCAAACATTGATTTACAGACGAAGTGGATTCTCCCATCTGTAAATTTAGACAGTGAGGATTGGAAACTGAAAAAGCTCTTGGATATCTGCAGAAATTCATGCAATTCATCGATAGAAATTAACAGTACGTAATCAATTCATGGATGGTAACGTTTTGATTTTTGGGGCATAAAATGGATTGACAAACTCTTGTATTAATTAAAAGTGAAAAAATATATAATTAAAATATTTCGAGGAGCGAAGGTCTCTGGATTTTCAAATGTCGAAATTTATCTCTGGAGAGAGTTCTATGTGGTGCTACTTTGCAAGATTTTTTCCATCGTTTCTTGGAAACTCTACAATGAAAAAAGGATGAACCCAGAGTATAGAGCATTCTCTGTTTGTATTTGGCATTTTGTGGTCGGATTAATCTGACTTACGAGCTAGCGGACTTTTCAGACTTGGCCCAATTTTTACTTTCTCGCTACGCAGTGGAGACGAAGTTATGTAATGGTAAGCGAAAAACTGAGAATTTTGAACAGAAAAACGCTTATGTATTACAGCACTCTGGTAACGAAAAAATGGGAAAACAAGTTGCCTTTAGAAAAACAACGTCTCACACGTGGTGTAAACAAAATCCATGTTTTGTAGTTACTATTTTTTATTGAACTTTGTTGTTAGATAGAGTAGGCCGAAAAAGTGTTTAAAAGAATGGTGCAGGTCTCATGTTCGTTAAGAACTGATTTTTTTGAAAATTGCAAAAATTCAAACATTGTCAGCGCGTCACTAAAACTTCAATTATGAAGTTAGAATTTTTTTCTTAATGAAATCTATTCCTTGAAGAAAGATTTTGAAATATGGTCATGTACAATTTTTCGAAAATTAGAGTACTTTTTCACTTTTTCGTGTAATTTTGCGTAAGAGGACGTGCGAGAAGGATCGTGCTGTTTTAGTACATTAGATATTTGTTATCCTCGCCTGGTGTTAAAGAAGACATGTAGCGACATGCCATATTACCGAATTTAGCGTACTTGGCCTCCCTAAGCTTCTCTTTCGTCACGCAGCTGTAGAAACTGAGAATATTGTAACGGAAGGCTACATCTTTATTTTTGTTCCCACCGGTGCACCAACGCGGATCCCGGAATTCCACCTCGGAAAGCTAGCACGCTGTCCAAGAACCACCCTAGGTCCTTCAGAGCACTTTTAGGACATGAAAATAATCATGCTAAAACAGCACGAACGTTGTCGGGCCTATTTTCACGAAAAATTTGCACAAAACGTACAAGCCTTTTTGAAAAATTGAACATGACTTTATTCCAAAATATTTCTTAAAAAAACAGATTTTATTGAGGGAAAAATATCTATCTTTAATATTTTAGATGTGATGAGAATGAAAAAAAATTGAACTTTTCAATTTTCGAAAAATTAGAGTTTACATCGTACACGAGACCTGCACCATTCTCTTACACGTCCTTTACACTATTCTACAACACAATTTAATCAAAACCTAGTGCCTTTTTTTCTCTCAAATTTTGAAAATGTCCAAGGGGCTTCATGTAAAGTCCAAAATTAAAATATCGGTTCCCAATTCAAGGGGACGAGGCATCAGCCACAGTGATTGTGAATTATCAGTTTTGGAGAAAGTCGACTGAACGGTTTAGGATTAATTGCGTCGAATTAATTAAATCGAAACAACCAAGTGATTTCCAACCAGTAGTGATTTCGGCCATTGCCGCCTGTTTTCCTATCGACTGTGCGATAAAGCAAGAAGTTTCATGCTCTTTTGTCAGCAGTTCCCGCATAATTTTCTTTGATATTTAACTTAAGAATAATATTGACTGTCAATTTTTGAAAGTTTTCTCTTCAGTCTTTGATCTATGCTCAATGTAAAGTTACCACATTGAAAGTAAAATTTGACTTTGTTGTCTTATGATTATTTCGTTTTCGGCGTTCTATATTTTGTTTTCTACTTACTGCTGCGTTGTCTTACTATCGATGCGGTGAAACCACGAGACTTTGATAAGGAAAGTCGTAGGAGTCTTTCTATAAAAAAAATAGCATTTTAAATAATATTTCTTAAAAACTATTAAGGCCGCAAACTTGTAATTTGCCAACAGTATATTTAAGGGTTTTGTTTGACTCACACTGAACTTTGTAATTCTTATCAAATAATTCATTTTAGATTGATAAATGGTTTAATATATACTATTTTTCCTGACATTTTTCAGGTGTCTTAAACCTGTTTCACGTGCACCAATTGTGATAGCTGTTCACTGCGCGCGGCAATGTTTGAACTGTCTATCGTCTTTTGTTTATCTCTGAAGGATATCAGCCAACGTGATCAAGGTTAGTTCTAAATAACATCATAACATTAAAAAAAAAATTCAGCAAAAAAAACCCACCAACAACAAACATTACGCGCATTGTTTCTAACTACTACAATTTCGAAAATTCAAAGAGCTCAACGAAAATTCATTAATTATCTTGGTCTGTAATCCATTGTCGGAGTGGAATTGTCATATTAATACATTATGACACTGTCAAACATGAATATTGAACATTTTAGTTCAATGCACGACCAAGGGTCTTCATAATAATTGTAGAAACTAGAAATCCATATATCCAAGGCTGACTCCCCCCCCTCGGCACCCTTTACGCATTCCCGTTGCCGACGCGTCGAAAAGGAGCTGGTGGGCGAGGCGAAATGGGACGAGCACAGGTCGCACGGAGCGTCTGTCGTGCCTACTTGGCGCTGCCGGTACCAGAGAATGGCGCAATGCGCAGTGCTCACCCGGCCGGATACGTCATTGTCTGCGAGCGCGCGCGCCTGGCACTTGGCGTGGCCCGCAACACGCAACGCGCGTCAGTACTGCAGGTTGCCTGCCCACCTTCTCCTGTAACTTGTCGCACACTCGTGGCAGCTCGTTATCCCGCTGTGGACGCGGACGTAGGTGATATGTTCGTCTAATAAACTCGAGACAATGCTAATTACTTCATGCGTTTTTAAATGTGCGTGATCTTGGTACGTGTGTGGACAGAATTTGGTCAATGCCACACAAATTGCGAGTATATTCACTGATATTGCAATGTATTCAACGTTCATGAAAACTGTAAATTAAGTAAATCATTCACACTATTCATAACCTTGCCTAATTTTTGTTATATCTAGGACATTATTACTTTTGTTCGAATGAAATGTTAGATCATTAGTATTAGTTCCACGTCCTTTTGGTTTTTCGCCAGTCTGATCGTTAGATTGTTCATTCCTACGTCCGAGTGTCCATTCGTTCTTCTTTTTTTCTTTCATTTTTCGCCCGATTGGTAGGGTTTAGTTGGGTTCAGACGGTTATGATATTTGTTAGGACCTTCAAACGTAAATAAAAAAGATATAACTTTGTGATGTTTTGTTGTTATTTTAATTTTAAAATAATATCAACGAACGTGGGCGAGACATGTGTTAAGAGTTTGTTTTGGATGAATTAAGTATGGACGACCCAGTTAACAAGGAAGAAATCCCCCATTTTTTATTTTCATTACAATGCGTATTATAATTGTCCTTTTAGCAACAGTGCTGCTAGTGATGTGCACATATGATTTATTGGTCCCGACGAGTTGATGGGGGTGGTGAAAATTGAAATGTTAGCACAACGTAAACCCGAGAAACTTCTATATTGGCTCTTGGAAGAGGAGCACCGTGTATTTTAATGATTTAATTTTATTATTAGAAAGAATTCACGCAGCGTTATTGTAAAATAAAATAGAGTATTCAACAGACTATTAAAAATAATTGTATCCCTTCCATGAATTCGCCCATCGTGCAGTTATTTTATTCTCTTAGTATGTAAATAAATTCAAAAATATCTTAAACAATATACTTTAGGAAACCCAATTCATTACATTTCATAATTAAATGCTAATCAATTTATTAGGACAACGGTACAAATAACTCTTGGAGAAAACTATTTTCGCACGACAGGAAGTAGAAATTATGCGCTGGGCAAACTCAAAGATGTTTTATGTTAATGTAAAGGGCAGAAGCCCAGCCAGAGTCTTGCAATCAATTTGAATATGCGTAGACAACGCAAATCGTCAATTTTATCCCTAAAGTAAACACTCCCAAATATATTTATTACTTTTGCCACATTTTATTACCTATTATAAATAATTTCAGGATAAAGTAAATAATTTCGTTTTAAAATCTTCCTCAGTGCATATTTAAGTTATTGTATTATTGGGGTATTTTTAGCAAAAGGTGATGAGCACTTAATTCAAGGGATACTTCACAAATAGTACATATATATGTGTGTAATGTATTAAGAATAAAATGTGTTAGACATTATTTGGCGTTTAATGCCGTGCTGCAATCTGCGCTGTTGTGTTTTAGTGTTGTGGCATTTTTAGATAAAGTTGACAAGCAATTAATTCTTGACTTAAATCACCAATTTTTGCACTATTGTATGAGTATATGTATTTCATTAATTATTTGAATATCGTCCAATGTATCTTCTATTATACTCTTCAAATTAATAAGTTGGTTTTCTTTACTCTGGGATCTGAGAGTTGCAAGTATCTGCTCAATGATAAATATGAATATTAATAAATAATATTAATAAACTTTGGGCGCTTATTAAGTAGTTTTGTTGTAACTTAATTTTTTTTATTATGTGTCAGTTAACTTCATTGTAATACTTGCTGACCATTTGTTATTGAGAAAACTGCTAAAGGATAACATTTGGCGATAGACCATTTAATACGTATAAATCGTCTTACATCGTCTACAATTATGAACTTGTTCTCTTTGTGCTATGTCATAACCTGTCGGCCAGGCATATGGGCATATGGGCATTCCTGTGTATCACATTTTTGATATTTCTCGTTATTTCGTTTATCACAGTCGCCTCGTGTTGGCTAATGAGCATTTGATCCGGCATCAGTTCGAAGTGTGCTTCGAATCTATTCCTACTTCGGATTTATCCTTCTATTATGCATACTGTGAGCAGTAATCGACTAATTTGGGAATCGACTAATTTGAGTCGCATTCGAACATTAGTCATAGCATAACGTATACAGAGGTCGCCGGGGGATGGTCCCTGGTGCGCAACGCTTCAGCCAGCTGCTCTGATTGGTAGTGTACTAGCAGCAGGCGAATGCCGGAGCAGTATCCTAACGGGCCCTGAGAGCCTTATTCTTCTTTGTCTTTTCCTCACTTACCCCTTACTTACTTACATTTACACGTACATGCTCTCCAGTACCTCACATGCCGGGAGAACAGCTGGGATCGTAGAGCTCGGACAGCGCCACCGATCGGTCAGTGCTCCGCTGTTGGAGATGCTTGGAAGACGGCGAATCGGCAAACCGATGAGTAGGTCAGTCTGAGACCTTTCCTGCGAGGTAAAGACCGCCGCCACCCCCTCTGGAAACCCTCTCTCACTTATAAAGGTAGTACTTATGAAGGTAACTGCAGGACCGGGAGAGGTGGCTTAGGGCATCAACTGATGCACTGCACATGCTTCTCACCGGGAGGTCCTTAGTTCGAATCTAGTTTGTCAGCTAGGTCGAGTTCAGAGGCTATCTAGAGGACAATTCCAGCGTCCGGCTGCTCTGGTCGGATCCGTAGTTTCTCCGATAAGTGTGTTTCTCTGATCAATACCAAGCGAATGCCGGAACGGTACCTTAATAATCAGGGCACGTTCCGCGCGCGATATTTCTTTCCCCTTCATAATCCTATCCTTACTTACACACACTTACTCGCATGCACCACTATCGCATATGGCTGGAGACCGATCGGGAGCTTAGAGCTTGGGATGGTGCCCCGCTGGCGGGAGATACCTGGTTGGGGAAACCCCGCTAGCCGACGGTAGGTCGGCGCCGGATCTCGCCATCCAGCGTGGGCAAGGTCAATTCCCCCTCACGAGCAAAACTATGCACTGCACTTACGGGACGAATGACTTTCGCAGTTGACGCCCCCGGAATTACTAGTACTCGATCAATCACCAATCGTGTCGTGTGCGTTCCCCTCCCTCCGCGTGCGCCGCAGCCACCTGTCGCTCGCGCAGGGCACGCCGCTCCCGCGCCGCACCGCTCCAGGAGGGGTCCTATTTCCATGCGCGGCGCCGCCGCCGAAATGCAAATAAAGAGCGTGTTAATGGAATTTCCTTCGGATGCTCGCGCTGCGTTTGCGGCCTAATGAATTAATTGCGTTTGTCTCGCGCCGCTGCGCTGTGCTGCGCTGCGCCGCGCGGCGGCCCCCCAGGACCGCGACGCTAGCGCTGCCGGCGGCCGAGTGACGTCACGTGCCGGCGACAAAGAGGGGGAGTAAGGGAAGAAGAAATATTATTTTTTAAAAGTGGCGGCGCAAAAACATTGTGTGAGGTTTCTTGCACGATGGTGTGTGGATTTGAACTTTATTTCACGTTTGCAGTAAGAGGAAATAAAAGACCAAATATTTTGCATCATCAAAAAAGTGTTTTAGTTTGCAGTGTAAATGTCAGTTTATCATGTTTCAATTTTTATTCAATTTTAGACTTTGGGAGATATTTTGCGGATGGTAGTGGTTGTTTTTCCATTCTGTATAGTCTTAGGTAAAAAAAGAATTTTCTATCCACAGAGAGTGTTCTGTTCTTGGATGTAAATTCTGTTTCAATGTGAACTAATTAGAAGTTAATTAAGTAATACATAGTTAATTCGCCATTTTGAAGCTATTTCTGCATGCTGTTGTTATTTTTGTTGTGGTTGTTTTTGTTGTGATGGTTGTCATTGTTGTTTAAATTTTCACTTAAGTAAACGTGTAGAGTAAGGAAAGGAAGACAACGAACGTTTGCAAAAACATTAACGTTTTTCGTCAGAGTAATTGACATTATTACAAGGTATTCGGTTTCTATTCGATTTGTCTTTATCTGTGCTCTACGATAAACTTAATTACTGAAAATAATTTGATCACTACATAATCGACTTATGTAGTTTATACCTCGTATCAAACCGATTTCGTAAACTATATACTGTATCTAAGATATTGAAAAATTTGAGTTTTTATAGATAAGTTTTTCATAGTAGTATTGAATATTTTTAAAATACAATTTTTTGAAAAATCTAACGTAAGCGACACTCCAAAATTGCTTTCACACTTACAGAATCGAAATATCATTCTCTTCGTAATTATGATTAAAGTGAATTTTTTTCTCGAATTTCAAAGAAATTTATTAGACCTGTGAGATGGGAACAGATGGTACCATCCGTTACCCAACGTTTCGAAATTTTTTGTCCTAGAACACTGAAATTCAAGCTGGT